TTTTTTTTTTTTTTTGGATCTGACAGGCAACTAATTATTATTTTCTATTGGAAATATGAAGTTTGTCGAGTTTGGGGTACACTGATTGCTTGGAATGGTGTATGGAGTTTTGGACTTGAATAGATAAGACCATTTTGATGAGTTCATTGGTTGATTTATTGAGTTTGGGCTGGGCTAATTACAAAATCAAAAAAATTTGAAAACTAATAATGGTTAAATAAAAAAAAATAGGCCTGGGCTTCAGCCCAGCCCAGGCCTTAAATAAATCCGTCCATGACCTTAAGAAACTGACACGTCATGCCACGTCACTTTTTAACTCAAGGTCCGGATAAAAAGAACCAAAATTGATGAAATTGACATATTATAAGACCTAAATTGAAAGTGGTCAATATAAGAATGATTTTTTAAACAGTGGCCAAATTATATAGGACCAATTTTAAAATTTTGTCTTCCTGAAAATGTCGAGTAAAACATGGAAATGAATTACTGGAGGGCAATCAAATTTACCTACCTTTACTTTTGTCCTTTTCTTCATCACAAGATATTGACAACACATGGAAATTGCTCTCGAGACAATATAATTAGAGCTATCTGTAATGGTACAATGTACACTATATCAAATATGTAGCAAGAGAACCCCAAAAAAAAATATATATATTAATAATAATAATTAAATTAATTTATAATATTTTTCAATTCAAACATTAATATTGTTCATTTTTTTTATTCATTTTGCTTGGATTTTAGATCTTTTATGGATTTTGTTTTATTTGTCTTTGTGATTTAATTAATTACTCAATAAATAAGGTGGGGCAAATGCATAAAAGTGATATTTAAGAATTGTTTAATTAAAAGTAATAATCAAAATAGTGTGAATATTATTTTAATATGGGTATCATATGAGCACAAATAAATGTTTCTAGAATATATAAATATTATACATTTGAAATAAATCATGAAAAGATCTCTCCTACCCATCAAGGGTAAACACATATTAATATGCCCACCGCTGTTTATGTGACATGTACACATTAGTGATGTTAATATGTTCAAAAAAATACATCTTTAATGTGTGCATGCCACATAAACGGTGAGCATATTAATATGTGTCCACCGTGGATAGGTGATCATTATCCTATCCATTAGTATATTTACGTGTTCAATTCCAACTACTCTAATTTACACACTTCAAAATTCATTCACATTGAAATATATATATGCGTAGAAGAC